AAAATAAAGATATATTAGTTAGATCCACCACCTGAGTTTTCTGTAATGTCTAGGATCAGTCTTAAAAGTTTTTTGATTGTAAGTGGTATGAATCACGTGTCAAGCAAATGATATCTCCACTCATGGATAACTTCAGTGGTGGTTCTGGCCTCTTTCTACACAGACGTATGATGTCCTCCGACTTAGAGTAGTCTTCGGAGGAAGAAATTAAATAGTCTACGAGAGGGTGACCAAAGTAAGAATACCCGGGAGTCTCTTCCCTCGGGCGGTAGTGTCCTGAGTCAGTAGTGGTAATGAACACATCACAACCGCGCTTTTGGTTGTTTCAAAGGACTCTGGATGTATCACAGAAGCAAACAAACAACAAGATAATACAAAGCACACTCCCAATGCAGGATGCGATGTATCCAGCAAGTGACACTCACAGCAGTGTTGGATGAGGACACAAATGGGGAAAAGCACGAACGGTATGCACGACATCACAATTCGAGAGAACAGGCACAGGTACGAGGTAGGTCGGAACACTACGAAGCACGTAGCTCATCAGCCACGATAATAATCTGGCTTTAAATCACAGCACAGAACTGCACGCCACAAGCGCTGGTAACCTCCTTCCAGCTACAAAAGCGAGAACACAAGAAATATGTGCTTGACACACGAAGAGCAAGTCGGAATAGCAGGTTCAATTCATCCAGCGTCTCCGCTCCTATCGATAGAGACCGCAAAAAGTGATCTGACAAACGAGGAGATTCAAAGAACTGACTAATCAGTGGCCGGAAATCTGGGTATCAACGAAGAAGCCAGAAACGGGGTGACGAAAAGATTGAAATGAAAAAACTTTACAGTGCTCGAAAAACAGACAATTTTAGGCAAGGTTAACTATTTTACCTAATACTCTGATGTCTTCCACTCGGGGAAATGAATGTCTATTAAAAAATTAGGCTTGTTGGTGAAACGTGATATCCTGTGGGAGTAGTATAACAATGAACATGCTTCCCATCATTCAGGTTCGATACCTTTCGAAGGTCTGAGCTCCCAGATTGATTGCAGTCTTTCAGGTTTGGGCTTCATCAAACCGTGGAAGGTTTGGTAACCCTGAAGTTTGGTTTTTCTTTGCCAATAAAGCACTTTAGTTTGAATTGAACCCATATTTTCTCACGGCATTGAGAAAAGTTGTCAGCTTTTTTGCGGTTCTCTCTGTTGAATCCACTAAAGGAATGTTGCTAATGTCAGCAGAAGTACTCGCTTAGTTTTTCTCATGGATTAGTATGTCAATCGCCCATCGGAAGCACTTTATATTCATGTTCACTCAAAGAGGTAACTGACAGCAAAATTAAAAGATCGCTGCGAAGTACTGAAATCAATGTATTGCGATGCCTTGAATACCACGTAATCTGGTTGTTAGCATGGCTTAACGATTAGTAGCTTAACTGAAGTAAAATATCGTGCACATATTCTGCCGTTCACTTGCAGTTACAAAGACGTCGGCGCGCCACCCTAATAAATTCAGTGATTTTCGAATCGGATGGATTTCAACGCCGACGCGAAAATAGATTGTGGCCCAATGAGTAATGCGGTTACATAGACCCTTCTTCTCAAAATTACTGCATCCTTAGCTAGACATCTGAACAGAGAGTGTCTATCGTTTTCATAAAAGTAGCATCTGGCTTTATCATCGACTGATCTTTCCCAGAGCGGGCTGATGTCTTCCTCACAATCAGAAGAGTTACTATCGATTTTTCGTATGAGTTTGTAGCTGTATATGACATCTTGAAAGCTAAATATTGCTTGCGTGCTGTTTCAAGCCACCAAACTACTCCCACGATAGTCTGCAGATCCAAAGACTTGTTTTCAAAAAGATTAACACGTTTGATTGTATTCCATTCGTTAAAGCATCTTGAATGGCGTCATTTTTAATTCGACTTGAAGGCCACATCTCCAGCTACGAATCTCGGCCGCTGAAAGAACGAATCGAAACTTTGGCCCAATTTTTGTTTCCATATCTCTGCTGGATTTTAATCATTCCTTCTTGTTCCCCGCATCAACCAGGTTTCTGGACTGACTATCTTCCTTTTTTGTCCCAAAACTTTTATACCCGGAGATACAGACTAAGAACAAAGTACTTGCAACATATGTGACGTCTTTACTCTGGAATGAAATTTGGTTGCTGAAGCCCCGAAACATTCTAACGCATCAAACTGACCGGTGCTCTTCAATTACCGCTTGCAGTGTTCCCTCTAGCTCTCTTTTCCTTTTCAGGTGTTGAAGGCATCACCCTCGAGGAGAGTTGCGGTGTGACTGAGCTATTCGTCTGTAAGTTTACTTTGAAATGGTTCGTTCCAATCATGTGTGCCAGGTTAAGTTCTGTGCAGTTTGCGGTGTATCCATTATTTTTGTCATAAACACGTTTCAGTTGTCTAGTATCAGGTCAGCCTATGTGCTGCATTTCGTTGTCTACATCTAGTTGTATTCCGATTTGGTTCCCACTATTATCAGTTTCCTTTTCTCATGCATTGTCTGACCGTCTCGTTTGGTTCTCATCTGTGATCATGCTCGTATCAATCACCCCTCCACACACACCGGTCGCCTCCGTTCACCCTCACAGGTATGTCCCACCGTTCGGACAAGCTGCCGGCCTTCGGTTCCGATATGGACTTGATGAATATTACACTTGGTAAATCATTGGCTACCAAACGAAGACAATCTGAGGGTACCATTCCATCAAGGGACCGGAGTGCACACCCGACATTTGTGGACGGTGCCGAATACGCCCAAGTGGTATGTGCTTGTTTGGTCATGTGACTGGACACAAATTAACATTGTTCAACATTCCTAGTATTACCGAAACAAACAAACAAACGCACCGGTCAATCATTCATTTAGTCTGACCCAGACCAGTGGTTTACATCGAAACGACCTTGAATAATCACCGTCAGCACATACCTTCAAACAGCCAAATTATATTGTGCCAACACTACATAGTTTTAAGGTTTACGAACGCTCATTTGATTCGTACACTTCACATGGCGAAGTGAGTTTGAAAGGTAGTGCGTACGTTGTTCAGCTTTACTGTTGTGGGACCGTGGGTTCGCTTGGAATTCTTCCATCATCAAGGTTCACGGCTGATTAAAAATGGAACGAGCAGGTTGAGAAATCCATGGCGAACTGTCATGTACCGGGGACTGATTGATTCATTGGAAAGTTCATCGTCACACGTACTGCGTATGCCTGGTTATCTTCTGCCACATCAGCCCCCCCCCTAAGCCTACTTGTTTCTGTTAGACATGATGCTTTGCTTCACATCTCCCTGGGATCAAATTCTCCTGGTCTCTATCTTTCTTTCGATCCGCGCCACCTCCCGGTTGCCTCGTAAATGAATTTCAGTAGTGCTGA